TCCAAGCATTTTTTTCTGCATGAGGAACTGAATAGGAAAGATTGCAGGTTGATGTAGCAGTTGAGAGATGAGTCCACTGGCTGGGAGCCTGGCAGGACTGCGGGTGGGCTGTGTGTGAGCACGACTGCAGGGTACCAGCACCTCAGCACATCAGGACTTGGGGCAGGGAGTTTGGGGGAGCAGCCTGGATCTCTTGAGAGAGAACCCCAGGAACTTTCTCAGCAGCGGCAAAAACACAGAGTGCCTCCCCTCCCAGCAGGTGGCCAAGGCTGGGGGTGGGCTTCCATGGATGCAGGTGGGCACTGATGTTCGTCCATCACGTGCTGTCTGGGAGGATGCTGATGGAGCTGAGGCCAGCTGTCAGTCTTGCAGCCGGGGATCCACCCAAGAAAAGGGGGCAGGGTGGGATAAATCTGCCTGAAGTGTCTGAGGGACCAAAGATGGGACCGAGTTTTCCTTCAGGAGGCTAGAAGAAACTGTACAGAAACTGGAATTAGAAATTCAGATTGGAGAATTCCCTGGTAGTTCAGTGGTTAAGACATGCGCTTTCACTGCTGTGGACCCAGGTTTGATCCCTGGTTGGGAGATCCCATAAGCCATGCAAGGTGGCAAAAAAAAAAAAAAAAAAAAAAAATTCAGACTGCATTATGAAAAATAGAGAGCTAGGTTCTGAACATGTGATTTTGAGGCTGAAAATTTGTATTTGTTACATTTATACTTGAATGTGAAAATATGCACAGTGCTTGGCATACAATTGGTGCCCAGTAGGTGCTAGTTAATGTCCTTTCAATTATTCATGTAGCCTACATATGTGCCCACACACCATTGGAAAGGGTAACGGAGCAGAGAAAATGCCCCAGTGATGCTGTCCTACTATTTTCATTTGGAAATTTGTTTGCCTTTTAACAGGCTGCTGCTGCAGCTAAGTTGCTTCAGTTGTGTCCGACTCTGTGCGATCCTATAGACTGCAGCCCACCAGGCTCCCCCGTCCCTGGGATTCTCCAGGCAAGAACACTGGAGTGGGTTGCCATTTCCTTCTCCAAAGCATGAAAGTGAAAAGTGAAAGTGAACTCGCTCAGTCATGTCTGACTTGTAGCCACCCCATGGACTGCAGCCCACCAGGCTCTTCCGTCCATGGGATTCTCCAGGCAAGAGTACAGGAGTGGGGTGCCATTGCCTTCGTCTTTTAATATATTTTGGATCATATTATATAGATGATTTTTACAACTTAGAAGCAATCATTAGTACAGATGATTAATTCCAAGTTGAGCAGAAGACTGAATCCTAGGTCCACCACTCACTAGGTGTGGAACCTTGAGCAAGTACTTTACCTCCAAGAGTCTTCCTTGTCAATGAAGATAATGCCTGATTCATGAAGCTGGTGGACATCAATGAATGTCTCCTGAGGGCTTACACCTGCCTGGAGCTGTGCTAGGCAATTTATTTATTTATTTATTTTTTTCCATTTATTAGTTGGAGGCTAATTACTTTACAACATTGCAGTAGTTTTTGTCATACATTGAAATGAATTAACCATGGATTTACATGTATTCCCCATCCCGGTCCCCCCTCCCACCTCCCTCTCCACCCGATCCCTCTGGGTCTTCCCAGTGCACCAGGCC